GAGGGTATTTTCAGAATATAATAATCTACGAAATAAAAGTATTACGCTACAGACTTTACCCAAATTATTTGAACAAGTTCGAATTCGTAATAGTAATTTATGTGAGAATTTATTTTTTTATTTTTGGTAAAGGTGTTCTACCAATGTTTATAATAAAATGATATTAGTCATTTACAAACAGTATTTAAGCTCGTATGTTATTAAAATATCGATAGTTTATTTGAATTTCAATTTTGTATGGTCAACAATGTTGCATAACGAACAACGTTTATTGTTCAAAATATATTTTGTTCCAAATAAATGAAAATCAGTACCTACCTTAAACGGATACAATAAGCGATATTTAAAAATATTCAAATCAAACTATCATAGCCGGCAATAGTTAAACCATTATAACAACATTTTTATCTTCACATGCTACACAGTCAGTTTAATAGAACATTAAACAGTTGTTAGTAAAAATGGTTGACATCAGGGAACATTTAATATTTAAAACAAATAAAATTCTGTCATTAAACGGTCTTGACTATATCATTTGAGATCACTTGTTTTTAAATTACATTTTTCTGCACTACCTATAACTGCAATGTTTTAGTGACACTTATAGTCCATTGAAGACTTAAACTGGATGATTTTGGTTTTTAATGTAATTTTATTGTTCAAATACGTTTTATTTTGTGAGTACAATAATACTGTGCATTTTTTTTTTTATATACAATTATAGTTTAAAACTTCTTTAAAGTAACAATACAGATTTATATTAATTTATAATATATTCATAGTATTATTGAAATGTGATACCTTTATCTTTTTATTTTATTTGTGTGGGGTAAAATTAAATAAAAATAATTTACATTTGATTTATAAATGTAAAATTATAAACATAATCCGTATAGACTGCAATATATTTTCAATTTATCTTAATATTATTATCTAAAATTATGTGTATTAAGCTTTGTGAAAGCTATAAATACATAATAACAGAAATTGGGTTAATTTTTTTTAAATATAAGTTTTGAAACTATTATGAAAGTAGTGATTGATGTAGTACTATAGAAAAGCTGTAATTAGTATGAAATATGATCAACGCAAACATGGATTTAATAATCATCATCCTATTTTATTTTATTCATAAAGTTTACATACAAATGTTCATTTTTACCAATAAAATAACATACTATGACTGAATATTTTCAAAGAAAATTTCTATTATAGAAGTAAGATAAATGTAGCGAAAACAAAGTTTTAAACTAATAAAATAAACTTGTCAATGACGACATTAAACCAATTGACTACATAACAACTTTTGTGCGTTCTTGTATAGATCGATTATTATGCATCATCAATCTCAAGGTTTTTGAAGCTATAATTATAATTTTATTATATTTTTCTGTAAAAATCATAATTTTTTTCTTTTAAAAAAGAACTGTATATTGTTTCCATTACATAAAAAAAAGCATTTGCAGAGACATAATATAGTAGTTTTTCACCTAAACATTTTTTTTACTTCTACACATTTTATTATTACTGTATATCTATAAAAATTATTCTGGTATAAAATGCATTACTAATTAAACAATTATGTCGTATAGGCGACTACCCGAACTTAATGCAAACACTTTTTAGAGTCTTTTTGGGGTAGCTTCGTACGGTTATACTGATGGATAAATGTTTATCATGTATGTTGATCAGATTGTTAAGAAGAAGAATAAAACAAAGACGGTAAGAACATACCATGAAATTGGATAGTATGGATTTTAAAATATTTATTGTCGAATTTGTATAGATATTTCATAATTAGACATCAAATATTAAGGTTAGTCATTACTTAAAAATTATAAATTATATAAAATATCATAAAAAAAAATAATAATAATAATAAATATTAAACAAACATGAGCAATGTGAATATATACGATAAAAATAATTACAATAACGATTATTATGCAAATGATGTAACTAATCGACAATAAAATCTTACATTTCGACCGACGGCGTCTCGCAATAATTTACGGACAGCAATGTTGTGTGACGAGCCGACAGCGTATGGCGTTACAACAATGATGGACGATACTCGCGTGACCGACAAACAATGATGTGACATGAACGTAACGCAGAACAATACGAACAAAGTGCATAGGACCAAATTACGTGGATCGCAAACACGAGAACAGGAGACACTGCATGAACCAGAGGAGTGTCTAGAAGGTTTCGGAAGTCCAACTCCCCCAAAATGTAAAAGAACTCGGAAAAAAAATTGTTGCTTAATATTTGTACACAATTTAAGTTTCATATTATAAACATTTGCCAGGATTATTCATATATTCATAATATGATCCATTGTGGATCTATCTAATACTATAAATTGAATTATTACCACAGTTATCATCTCGTGAAATAAATGCACTTGTGAAATACGTGATAACAAAAATATTGAACCTCTCGACCAACGGTACGAACGGCACCTCAACGAGAACCAGCAAAGACACGTGGAAATCGACACTCCATCGCACATGTGAAAAACGGCTCTATTGCTGTCAGTCATCATGAAAATGAGCACACCCTGTAAAAAACATTGCCTATGGAACGATCCCAAAAAAAATCGCAAAACGCAAGTAAAAGCTAGACAAACAGGGTGGACGCGGAAAGCGTGAATGCCGGCAGTTTAGTGACGGACAATAGCATGTGCGGTGTACGGGTGTATACTACAGATTAGCCAAAGGATCGAGATTGACGCTGTTTGTTACAATCACGTGACGTAGCGTGATGTTTGTACCGCATGTTGAAACGATGCGGTTCGAATCACACCGATTATATAGTACGTCATAATACGTATCGAACGAACGTTGATGAGATGTCTGTGGTTTGGAGTTATTAACCCTTAAAAATACATATACACGTAAAATCGGTGTAAAGGTATTCCGGGAGAAAGAAACAAAAATTCTGTGCGTGTTTTTCGAAGAAGCCCGATATTTGCTATTGTCCAGAACGAAAAAATTTAATTTTAATTCGTTTCTGTAATGAATGATTGTAACGAATTTATGTATATTTATAACTTAACACTGGGCAACGGCTTTTTCAATTAATAATTGGTGTACATAAAAATCGATAATCATAGCCTTAACAGGTTGACTGCCACGTTAATACTACGAAACTTGCTATTATCGCCGCGTAGGACCTAATAACCCTACAGTATATTTTACTGCCAGATTTTGCAGGGTCTTCAAACCCTGATTATAGTTCCAATTGATTTCCATATCTCGTAGGGTTTTTGAGAACCATCGAAATACATAATTTTATATAAAAAAATATTTTGTTGTGGCCTCCTTGGAAGTTTTTTTAAATGGTTTTGAGGTATAATGTTTCTTTGTGAAGTAAAATATAATTTTATTTTAATTAAAATTCAAAATACAAGAATTCATGAAAAATTATAGTGGCAATCACGTCAAAGTCATTGTTGTCATAAACTATAATAACGATATCAGTAATATTAACAATACGTCTTATATTAGAGCCGTTGAAAATAATAAAATATTATTTTGTACGTTATGGGAAACAAAAATATTGGATGTGCATTAGCTTATAAGCATACCGTAGCATATGATGAAACCTATATTTTTAAGATCAATATTTAACATTTTTTTAATGTATTTGATGGTAGGTTTGCAAATCGAAATTTACTTGATTTTACCATAACATCAAATCAGCGGCTTATATACTACATATAAATTGCCATGGGTCTATCATCATCAAAGTATAACAGTACATATATTTGCTCATCTCAGAGTGTATATAAAATTTACAATGTATAAGAGGTATAAGAAAAAATAACAATTTATTATTTTTATTTTATAAGCCAAGTACTATTACTTTTTTTTTTCTTGAAGGTTTTTGCAATAAAATACTATTATTACTTTATAACGTTGAATTATCGTCTTTGAAATTTTCTCGGCAAAAACGACCATTTTATTAGTTGTCAAGTTTATTTCGACCCTTGATGGTTGTATTAAAATTGTTCAGGGCCATTGGTGTGTGATATTTTCTTTCTCGAGTCTAAACGATTGTCTAACACTTGTATGTAACTTCAATGAATAATTGTATTAGTTTGAATAATATTCATCAAGTTTTGATGTATTAAACAATATAAATAAGCAGTTGATTTATTTTACAATGGAAAAGATAAAAATAGTTAATATTAGTTTTTTGTTTAGTTATTTAATTATATTATATATAATATATATATATATATATACATAAATCAATTTTTCTGAAAGTATGGGTATCGAAAAATGTTGAACAAGTCAATAAAAAAATTGAAAAATTTATGTAATAGTTATATTTATTTTCCCCGTCCCACCGTTATCCTAATATTATTTTTGAAAAGGTAGCATGATAAGGTGGTTAAATATCACGGGAGGTCGGTCAAGTAGAACCAATATTATTCATATGGTTTATATCAAAGGTTCTTAACCTGTGGTCCACGGCCCTCTAGGGGTCTACGATACTCATTTCGGGGGTCCGCGACGGCCCTAACACATAAAATACGTCAGTACGTGACATGAGTGCATTATTATAATATTTTTGATTATTATTATCGTTATTAATTTCTTTTTCATATATTTTTTACTCTAAAATATATAGATCTTATCTTCATACAATGTTCAAAAACTTATATCTTAACCATCATATTAAGTTAATAAAAATTAAATTTTAAGAATATTAAATAAAAAAAAAAAAAAAATTAAAACTAAAATAATGAAATTTAAATTAATTGAAAAATTAAGTGTAATAAAAATAATTATAAATATGTATGTTATATTATGTATACTTATATAATTTATTATATAAAATCATTATTATAGTTTTGGTTTAAATAACATGAGATGTTTTGTAAAAAAAAAATGTATTCGAAAAAAAAAATTGGTAAGGGGATCCGCAATTTACAAAAGGTTAAGAACAGCTGGTTTACATTATTGAATACGACGTTTTTGTTGTTACAGAAGTGGCCGGGACGTGACGCTCAGGACGCGCGAGATGGTGGTTGGCCGCTGGTGGAGGCGATTCGTGATGCCTGTGGCTCTGCTGGCTCTGGCGGCCGTCGTGCATGGGTGGACGCCCAGGAACGGATCGCGCATACAAATCAACAGCCGCCCGATAGACGTGTCGCAGACGCTGTTCGGCCACGGCCGCGGCCAGAGCGCCATCAAGCTGGGTGTGCTGAAGAACCGGCTGAAGGAACCGGTACAGATATCCACCACGCCGGTGGCCACGACCACCAGCACGGAGCGGTTCCGGCGGCAGCCACCCACCGTGCCGCGGATCATGGCGCGCCGGCAGCACCAGAACCTCACGGTCGGCCTGGTGCTGCCGTACAAGTCGTTTGACACACGCATCTACACCAAGGAGTTCTCGGGCGCCATACACGGGTTGCAGCGCAACTTCAAGACCAGGAAGACCAACATATTCAAAAACTACGAAATCCATCACATCATCGACATGAAGCAATTGACGCCCACGCCCACAGGTAACGGACATACTCTCGGCCCTTATAATTTCCATTCGTTTGTCAACCGATACAAAAACCATATTCTCATATTACAACCAGTTGACCGCTTTGGGTTTTTTTTTCGGTATCCTACCCCCGTGGGAGCCACGCATACCGTATTCAGTACACCCCGTTTTTGCCAATAAGTTTTCGTACACCCTATTTGATGCTCAAGGGGTCTGTTAAAAAGTGTCGGGTACATCAAATAGATTACGTGTAAATATCATTTAAACGCAAGAAAATATTTTGCGCAAACAAATAATCGGCGGGCCTAGTTCTTGTATATCAGCCGTATTCGATTTTTTGCTTTACCTCTAATGGCGAATGAACTGAGTACCAAAAATGGCACACATAATGGTTAACCTGATAATATTATACGTGGTGCTAGCCCAACAGGCAGTTTTCGCGTTTCGTGGTGCATCCGAGTTATTGAGCGTCGAAACCACATTTGGAGGGGGGGGGATAAGAAGCATTGTTCCATTAGAGTTCCAGATGTTATTTTCGGTAAGTACCATTTTACACCAACTGGTAAAATATGATTGAGAACATTATTTTTGGTAACACAATTGAAAACGCTCGAGTTTTTTTTCCAACGTTGCCAAATGTAATCGATCGATAATTTGAGGACAATAATCTGTTGATATTTATCGGACTTTTATCGAATTAGCTGGATTTTAATAGTAACTTAGATATCAGATACGAGAGAATGATGGTTGGGCTTTGTAGTCGTCGCACAAACTATTCGTCAATATATTTCTTAATTTTATAAGTTCTACATATTTTACAATTTTTTTATACATATATACACTATACAGGTATTAGATATTTTTATAAGTCCTACATATTTTTAATTTTTATATACATATTATATATTATATATTATTAGGCGCTTATTTTTAGACGATTATAATTATTAATTTATGACTTTTTTCAAGAATATTTATTGAATGTATTCTGAATTTTTCAAAAGTCAAATAAATTATATGGCAAACTATGGCAACGTTGCATATAAATTCGTTCTCAATCGTATCGTTTTTTTTTGGTTTTTGTTTTTGGACCAACGGTAAGTTTTTGTTAATTTTAATTGTTCTCAATCGTTTGGCCAAAAAGGTATAATGTTTTCAGTTGTTCGATAGCTACACTAACGTGTTTCTTTCCGTTATAATATACTTAGGACTATTTACGATCAATTTTTGACCTCTAGTCAAGTTGAAATGATAAAAATGACAATGTGTTATTGAACAAGTGTAGTATCTATAACGATCTGGAACTCAACTAGTGTAAACGTCTCGCTTTCAGGATCCGAATTTTATGCAGCCGCCTTAAAAACTACTCGACGAACATGTATATGAAAACAAATCATTACGTAGTAGTTGAAAACTATGACGGTATACGTTTACTTCACCGTGTGATAAAACGTAATTTTTCTTCGGCGATAATGTCGCGTATTGTATCAAACGAGATATCCGCCAGCGTGGTGAAAATATTTTGATTTTCGTATTCACGACCCGTGGTCGTCGGATAATAGGTTTTCAGAAAGATAAACGATAGTAGTAAGGGACGACTGCAAGTAGGAACGCCCGCCTGTTTATATGACACGTGCTCCAACTAGTCTTTAAGAATGTGTTTTTTAATCGAGAAACTTTTTCCCTTCTGTTTTTTATCTACACTGCCATCTATTTTACATATAAATGCATTACACGACCCCTGTTTCGTTTGATATCCCTACATGCGTGTATGTACGTATACGTGTATAGCATATACGTACATACACGACGATACAGATTCTTCACGTGGACCGCCTTTGATTGGATTCGCATCGAGTTGCGTACACATACATCCAACTATATCGCGTTATAGCCTGCCTTCTGATTATACCACGACCGTGCTGCCGGTACGCTAAGAAGTGTAAACTATACGCTGCACGAAACCGAAAAAGTCCACTACGATTACCACTTCACATCGTGGTAGATCTGACGGGTCTATCGTTCTCGCGTATTAAGCATACGCCGAAAATCCGTACACCAGCTCCATGGAGATTTACCGCCACTTTGAATACAAACATTTATTTCCCTTAATATTTTACGTTCACCTTTTGTACACGTTGCAGGTGTACGTTTCTACCCTTCCCTTCCACGCCACAGTATTTGTTTTAAATATTATCCTTTGGCAAACAATTGTAGACGGTTGGACAGAGCTGTCACGCGACACAAACGTAATATCTAAACGATATTACATAGGTGGTGATTTTCAAAAATTACCATCCAAACGGCATTATGCATAGTATCATAATCAGTATAACTATAAAATGTATCGATAATATAGAATAAATAGGGTTCGAAACATTATCGTTATGGTTCAACTTCTAATGTGAATTTACACGCTTGAAATACTATAGCAATCATAATCGTACAATGGGCTTTTACATATTTTCAAATTTATTATTTGCTCACTTCAGTAAATTACAAATTCAAATTGGAATTGCGTACAAAAATAATTAAATTTTACATTCTATAAACTTGTTTACGATGGGCAAAATTATATTTCAATTTATAATTCATTTTTATTTGAAATTCAATATTTGATACTTTTGCGTCTTTGTGGTGTTTTTTTTTTTTTTACTTTTTATGGCTTACCCTCAATACGATTTATAATTTTATTATTTTAGTACACACAATGTTATTTGTATTGTTCATAATCTGACAGAAACTTAATTTGTTTTTTTAATATTTGGAATTTTTTTTTATGTATTTCATTAAAAACGGTCAGGTCAATGTAGTTTTATAATGAAATTATAATAGATTGATTAATAATGAAATAAAACAATTCAAATGTATCATAATTATTATTTTTTATAGTCATGTGTTGATAAAAAAAACAAATAATTTCACCAAATACTCTTAACAAGAAATATATAGGTAATATTTTATAATATTTATTCCAGAGTTCAATATATTACACTTACTGAAAAAAAAAATAATAATGTGTATGTTTATGTGTGTTTGAGTGTACAAGAGAACAACAATTACTAAATATTCTTGCCTTTATTAAAAATATTTATTATATAAAGAGTTTTGACAAAATGGCATGGTTTCAATTGAGTTATGGTTTTGCTATGATAATATAATATACTTTACTATAAATGGTCACATAAAAATATCAATTTCACAAAACTTCCTCTATGATAGAATTGTCGAGCCATTTATACGTTTCTAGGGAATTCAACTTAAACGATATTCAGTCTTTAATAAAATGTCCCTCAGGATGTATATGATCGTTGATAAAATTAACGTTAAGATATAGTACAGTATTTGTATGCGTAGATGTAGTTGATAAAACCGTTAGATAGCAAACGGGAAGTAATCTATGTGCAGAATATTTGCCGACCCTTGATCTAAAGGATATTTACTGTCAGAAATCGCACAAAAAATTGTAACTGTAATTTGTAATTGTAAAATTGTAAGTCATTTCGTCAAACAATTGCACGAAAATGCGTTACTTTTTGTTGTAGAAAATAGTTGTTTTTACATAAATTGTACTTACATAATGATAGCTAAATGAAATAATGTGTCTTGAACAACATCACTGCATTTTAATTTAATATAATAATTTAATAACCCCACATATTTGGTTTATTGTAGAATTTCAATTAGGATTCGTTAAGGAAAATTTAAGATATAGGTTATATGCAATTTGAATGAAACTAAATAGTTGGTAATTATAACTTTTTGTTAATGTATATTAATATTTTCCATTTAAAAACGTTTAAAAATATTTCATGAAGTACTAAAACGGTTTTGAATATATTTTTTAGGCTATTCTAATCGTGTGTTAATTATTAAAATTTATGTAAATAAAATGTAAATAATTTATGTAATATATAATTTTTGAACTCAAGTCTTAATTTCAATAATTTCCTACTAATATTCTTTAGTGTTCAACTTGTAAAAGGTATCTGAAATATATACAGTAATGTATATAATATATTTTAGTTTCACATATTTTAATTTCTAAAATAGCTTTTAACGCGTTATTTAACAAATAAAAAATAGTTTTTTAAATAAACCAATTTTATTCGAATTCTTTCTAATAAAATTACAGTAGTTATTATCAAAAGATAAGTATTTTTTCAGATTTGTTTTAACAGATTAGAGCTATGGCAAATTATTAATTAAATTAAAGACTAAATATACTTACAAATAAAATAAATAATTGCAAGTTTGAATACTCGATGGCTTATAAAATTAATTTTTTAATTTTTTTTTTATTATACTTATATATTCTAATAATTTTGTTCTATAATATTTCTCTTGAAAATACTCTATCATAAGCTACTAAACGAGTTTAATGTTCATTGGTCTGTATTTTTCGATAAAACTAAGAAACAACGAAAACTCTAATGTAAAAACACCGAGAGAAATGTATAGTATATATTTTTATTTTCTTCAAAATAAAATCTTTTGTATAGGACATTAATGTGTCGTGCATTGTCTTATTCAATAAAGAATAACAAGGATTTTAAATCCATAGACAATCAAACATTAAAGACAAATCTATTTAAGTGCCTTCAGAAAATATATTATTACGTTTTAACATTACCAAAGATCATATTGATGAATTTAGAAGAAAAATAATGTATTATACAAATAATATAATACTATTTCAAATATTCATAAATAGTTTTAAAATAAAATTATAAAATTGAATCATTAATAATTCTATCAATCGTATAAATATATAAATACAATTTTTTTTAATTTTAATTTTAGTTTCCTAAAAATATACATTTATCGATTTAATATCATTCATTCAGATTAAAAATTGTATCAAAATCGTTATTGTAGTGATGAAATTACAATTTATTTTACGTATAATCACTAAAGACGATAATCTATTTTTCGGCTACTACTCGTTTATTATACACCATATTATAATTATATGTGAGTTATCCTTGGATTTTAAAAGTTTGCTTAATATAA